GAGAGAGAGAGAGAGAGAGAGAGAGAGAGAGAGAGAGAGAGAGAGAGAGAGAGAGCGGTATAATTACTACAAAAACATAGATTTTGTTAATAAAATATTGATAATCAATACTTAACTATTATATAACTGTAAACTTAACTAAACAGTAAAGTTAAACCGTTATAATTAATTAATAATAATCAATAATCATGGTAGTGGTTAACAGTATATCATTGCTTTTATAACAGATAAAAAGTGTCTAAACAAAACTCAATTAACATTATATTTAATTATTTATAAACAAATCTGGGAATGAAAGCTAATTAAGCACTTTATTAATGGATATTAAATGCAAATAAATATATTGAATAATACTTACAATTACACCGATTTTCTCCAACAGTCTTACAGTCAGTAAATGATATTTACATTCACTTTTGAATGAGGGGTTTGAATTGGATCCACCTTTAGATCCCTTGCCATCGTTTTGGTCACCGCTATTGCCATCCGATTGTCTGCCGTTATTTGCACTGAAATTGCTGTCAAACTTATTGTTAACATTTGCGAAGATCTCGTAATAGCGGTCATAATATCTCTTATAGTATTCATTGTATAGTTTGTTGAATTCATCGTTAAAATCGTGAAAATAATAAGACCTTTGCTGACCACCGATGGACTGGTTATTATCCTCCGAATCGGAACCGTTGAAGTCGTGGTAAAACCTCTTCACACAGTTTGGGTTTTGTATGCATTTAAATGTCTGTCTATTAAAGGCCCGCAACAGTACTGAAAGCATGGCTTATAGTGGATGACAATCAGGACGTGGTGTCACTCGTGAGGGTTGTGTCCATATTGTCCGCGGCATATGTTTTGGACACTTAATCACCGAAACTGAGACACAATTAAAGCGTGGATTGGATTTAAAGGACAACACAAACAGTATTTCACACAAAACACACCAAACAATAGACACAACCGTTTAATGAATGCCTAAACACAACATGTGATCCCTTTTGGGCACTCAATGTCATCACAACTTACGTCCAGACAATCACTTCAATTCATATCCCATTTAATCACAGATAAGACACTAATTGTCAGCAAATTGTTATTAAACTTATTTAATCACATGTTTGTGGACACGAATTATTCAATGCATTCACACATTGAATGCAAATGTGTTAAAAATATGGTTAATTTAATTGAAAGCAAAGTTTTGAAACACTATTTGTAAACACAAGACATAATTGATTGCAAAAAAATAAACAACACTTTAAAGTGTTATTGTATTGAATGCATGGAAAGTATGAATGAATTTTTGAGAATCAAATTTAGTCCACTATTTATGGCGACAATTAATGCGTGAAATCATATGATTGTTGTGTTTGTCATCACATTATGTCCGGCCCTCACATCTGCGACGACAAGGATCTGATTGAGTTCTGTCCGGCGCTCGACCTGTGGCTCAAACCGTTGTCGAAGATGACGATCACTGTAACGCTTCCCGCGCTGAAGGTGTTGGACAACAGCGGAAAGACAATGACTATAAGCACGTGGGAAGTGATGGACAAACTGAAGAAGAAGGTGAAACCGTTGAGGTTTAAGGCGATCAAAGTGAGCAAATCCACGATTGAGTTCATCCGCTTTGAGGTCGAGTGCGAGTCGAAGAGCAGTTTGACGCTCATTGAGTCGCGACTCAACAAAATTGGTCTCAAGTTATCGGGTTTTGCGGAACAGTTGACTGTAAAGACCGGCAAATTTAAGATCGGTATTACATACGGCTCTCACCGTTGGACTCAACACTTGTCCACTCATTGTCTGTCTCTTCTTTTTTTAGGCTCCACTCGACACGAATGGGAGACATATTTTAGAGATAATCCACACATGAATGAAATGAAACCCGGATTAAGGCCCGACACCATTCACATTGAGGTGCGGAACAGTCTTTGTTATTATCTGTTGTAACTGTCATTTAATTTGAAACCACTGTTTGATTGTATAGTCATTGCCGGTGAAGTGGTTCGGAGGAGAGAAACCAAAACCAAACCTTTTGATCAAAGTTTTTGGTATCTTTGGTAATATCCGACGCTTTCATATCCCATGTCTTGACATCAAAGAACAAGACGACGGCTTTAAACGATTTACTTTTAATGAGAGCTTAAGTTTTGATGCATTTATTCAATACAAAGATTATATCGGTTTTGTTAAAGCGATGGACGCCTTAAGAGGCATGAAAATAGTGAAAAAGTTATCGGAAATACTAAACCAGAAGAATAATTATCTTGAATACGATATTAAAGTAGATTTTGACAAAACAAGACATTTGAGTGACAAAGCGATCAAAAGGAGACAAATCGCGCGACAGTTTGCGTTCAGCTCTGATCCGGCCGTTCAGAAGCTCGCCTTTAAATCAATGGTCGAACTCAAGAGATTAAGAGCTGAAACCAAACGACAACTCAAGAAACTACAGGCAGAGACGGCTAAGGAAAAGGGGAAGACTGAGAACGGGAGTCAAACTCGTGAGAAAACGCCAGACAATTGTAAACAAACGCAAACCAATTTAGATAACATTCCCGAGCGGTCGGTGTCTGCGACCGAACCCAAGGAGAAGACACCCAAAGAGTTGGAAAAGGAATTGGAGAGTAAGAAGAGAGCGGAACAGAAGGTGAAGGATAAGCTCCTTCAAGAAGAAGTCAAACTCAGAGAAATACTTCTGAAGAAACGTCAGGAAAGGGAACAAAACCTCAGAGAAATACTTATTGAGAAACGAAGGGAACGGTTAAGAGTGGAAGCGAAAGGAAAGCTCAAAAGTGTTGCGTCGGTCACTAATAATTGTATTCAGAATAATAAAAGTAATAATAATAA